TAAAATGTCTTGGTTTCCCTGTTTTATCTTTATTTTCTCTCTCTCTCTCACACACACACACACACACCTTTTATTTTCTTCTGCCTTTGCCACAGTGTATAAAGCCCTATTGAGACATGTAGGCGTGATGTGTAAACCGGATTAGCAGTATGAAAGAAAGACACACAATGAGCCTGAATTGTTTTACTTCCTTTTCATTTCTCACGCCTATATCTCTAATAAATTTGTTGCTCCAGCAGTGGGTCAAAGGGATCGTGTAGCTCAGCTTTTTTCCTGCAAGACCCGATGGCAGAGATCATGAAAATGAATGGCCTGCCTTCTGCCAAATGCAAGGCTTGAGATATATAGTTACAGAGCCCTGATGCTGTCCAGAATGGCTACAAACTGTTCGGTGTAACTTTCCCCCCTCTGTGCACATTAAAGTCACGCAAGTGGCAGGACACTTTGCCAGAAAAAGAATCCGTTCTGAAAACGACTCTGGTTCAGAGGATGACAAGGTTTGCTACAGCTGAGATTTCCTCCAGGCTTTAGAGCCAGGGGACTGTTGCTACCACTGCCGCTGGTGTGGTTCCCAGCTCCCAAAGGGCTTGGGCCGCCCACCCTGCTGAACTTGCTTGTGCATCTTGATGAATGTAGAGGTCTGTTGGATTCTGGTGGCACATTTCTCCGCGGCTCTCTGCGGATGAAATGCCTGCGCTCCTGGGTTTATGCTGTAGATCCCTCATTTGCTCCTTTGTGGCGTGCGGAGCAGCTTTCCATTAAAGGAGATCAGGGGTAATTAGCCGCATTGTTTTGACAAGTTGGCTCGAGCAGTTCCCTTTCTTACAGTCCTGAGGAGGGGATGAGGGTGGGGGTGGGGGAGAGCAGCGTTTGATTCATGCTGCTTGGTCCTTTCCCAAGCCCTGGCACTTTTTAGAATGTCTCCCTACAGAATGTCTTTACACTGCATCTGTTTCAACCACTCGCCTGTCAGAACAAATGGGAAGATGTTCAACAGGAAGCTGTGAAAACAAGAGTTTATTTAAAGGGAGCGGGAGGCTTATCAAATGAATTAATATATGTGCTCGGTGATGTAAAATGTTACCTTCGTAGCCTTAGTCGTTTCAAGAACCAGCCTATCACTAATATATGAGATTTCAGACCAGAAACAGACCTATACACTAGCATGATTATGTGTCTGAGAGGCAAAACCCAATAAAATCTACAAAACGAAAGGCAATTTAGTTTATTACAGGTCGGTTTTATTCTGCTGCAGTCCAATGCTCCGCTGTCTCATAACATCCAAACAAACAATCTGTAGTGCAGGTGTTTTATTTGTGTCGTTTCTGTGTAACCGGATGCTACAGGGAGTGCAATGTTCTTGATGGTGTGGCCCAAAAGAGGTTGAAAAGCTGGAAAAACTCACAAAAAAATCGATTGAATTATCTATTAACCATTACTAACATCTATTAGATCTGATATACAATTTATTTGGGAAATTGTAAAGCTCTGACATCTTAGGGCTTATATTGACAATTCAGTTCTTTGAACTGAAGATTATATAAAATTTAGAGCATTGTAAGAAAGGAAGGGCCAGCTGGAGGTTATTCGTATATACCCAAAGTCCTGAGGTTCTTCCACACAAGTCTGGAGTGAACGTGCATATGGGAAGGCAAGGTGTAAAGGATTTCAGACTAGATGTGCCTCCCCAACACACATCTTAGCAGGCTTTCCTTCATCCATAAAGCCAGCTCTATATGAAATCTGTGGGATCCTTGTGATTTGTGGAAGTTAAAAAAAAACTGGTGTCGAGCCGCAGTTACATGCACAGGGCATGCATATTAAAGCCAACAATGCTTACAAATGTAAATAAGGGCAGATTGATTAGGAACAACATTATCGCATGCATCAGCAATGAGGCAAATTGGGGGCAGCCACTGTTCTGACCACCCAAGTTGAGACAGACTTTTACACTGACACTTCTTCCTTTTTTAAAAAACATTACAGAAACAAGGCCAATTAGATCCCTGCAGTAATTCATCTCTTGTGTATGAAAAAACAGACCACAGGGAGAGAGAGGAGATTAAGATAGTGCTAGTTAAATTTGGGTCTCCAAATTGAGATTTGGAACCAGGAGCAAGAATTTATGAGCATGGGGCTATTGTGTGAAATCCTGAAACGTTAGCCTATCAAACATGAGGCAACAGGAGAAAATCTGAGGGTTTGATGTATCTAAACCAGCTGAATGTTATTCTTTAAAGTGAAACTAAACTAAAATGCTTGTATGCCGGACTTTTCTTCTCCATCAAAACTACACAGGCTGAATGGTAGCTATACTGATACATCAGTTTATTGATTTCTAATTAGACGGGGACAGTTAACTTTCTCAATCTGTAACTTTTGAGCAATAGATAATCAACTATATAATGGATATATCCGTTTCCACCTGAAATGGGTTGTTTCTAGTTTATGTACCCCTGCCCCCGTGAAGTTGGGCAATGTACAATCTAGTGTGTACAATAATATAGTCATGGTCGGATTTTCAAAAGTTCTCAGCACCTCCAGACCTTACACCAACAATAGATTAGTAAAAGTTGAGAACAAAATGTTGGTGACATCACCAAATGACTGTTAGGACCTTGGAATCCCCTGTCAACTAAATGCTATTACTTAATTTTACTGCAATACCTATATTCACTAGAATAACAGATTTTCCTTATGCTGCGCATGCTTTCGGTTTTATAATTGAGTAAGTGTCTAGCCAGTTCTGTTGCCATCTTATTTAGCTCAATTGCTTTTGCTTTGTTCACTTGTTTGTATTTTTTCCACGAAACATGTTTTCCCCCCTCTCCTTTATTTATATCTCGCAGGCAGTTAAATTTAGCGCGTTTTCCAGTTAGATCTCCTCCGGGTTCGTACTCAGTCTAAAATACCGTCCCCAAGCAAGAGCTGCCTGGCATGTGCTTGGTGAACACCTCTTTGCAAAACGTAACATGCATTTTGCAGGAGGACTTGGGCGCCCAGCTTGTCACACATCTGTTAACATCTGTGCACCAGGCCAGACCCGCAAGAGCGGAAACCCTCAGCTAAAGAATCACCTCTGCTGCGTAGAAGAACCCCCTTGTCTCTGGTGTGCGAGCTGTGCGCATAACTCAATGGGGTCTGTCTCTGCCGGCAGCCCGTGACTATCCCCACGATGTTGTGCAGAGTTGAATGGAAAGGTCTCCTTTCCCCTCGCTATTGGCCAGCAGTAGTCAGCCCGGCATGGTATTGGATAACGTAAAGGGGGAGACCTCCTTTAGGAATGTACTATGGCTTGCCTGGCATTTCTCTGTGCAGTAGCTCAAAACTAGGGGGTGAGCACTGATTCCCCTCCCCAGCCTTAAAGGGCTGATCTCCCCCCGGACCTGACTGGCTCCGTCACAGCATAGCCTCGTACCTGCTTTTTGCATTAGCTGCCAGCTCTATGCACTGTGGCTGCACACAGCAGCAGCTTCCCATACTCACCGTACTGGGAGGGAAAGCCCAGCCCCGCGCGCCCGGGGCCCGCCTGTCACGTGAAAGCTCGGGGCCCGCCTCCCCGCCCCTCCCCCTTTCTTTCAAAGTAGGATTGTTGTTTTTTCAATGAACACACACCGTGTGCACCTTAAAGCAACACTCCTCATTTCACAGTCAACAAACTCCCGCTACTTCCATACTTGAAGCCACCAAAAGCAGCTTGTGGTTTATCCAACTACAATTAAATGTAGCCTTGCAAGGGGAAAGTGCTTTAAGGCTCGATCTTGTCCTCCTTACACACGCAAAGCTCCCACTAACTTCAGTGGGACTAGGAAGTCTGCGTGAGTGAAGAGTGAAAAGACCAAGCGCTGAATCTGTGCAATTCAAGAGGAGTTGATCCTTTAAATGCATCATGAAATTAAGTCAATACTACCACTATACTAGAATTTTGTCTTGCCAGTACATGGAAACCAATCTCTGACATTAGCCAAAACATCGAGGTTTATTAGTATAAACAATTAAAAGACAACACAATTGTTTTCGATGAATTCAACATCGAAGCCTATATATTCTGTAGAGTTGGCATCGTACATGTAACGTATATAACATTTTAAAAAAAATCAATGCATGGCTGATTTTAAATAAACAGAAACGTGGAAAGCGGGTGCCAAAAAATTAAACAATCTAGCGATTCATTTAGTGTAAAAAAAGTATTTAGCAGTTGCCAGGTTTTATATCTTATTAATTTTACATTTAAAATGTATTAAATTGACTTTCCTAAGCTTTCAGTGAAAGAGTGAACACTAAATTGAAGCAAGCTAGCTACTGCACAGTTTAAAATCCCTTATTTAAGTATTAAGTTTTCGAGGTGTTTTTCTTATTGTAAGTGGTTGTTTTCTAGCAAGGAACTAAGTCTTCTCTTTAGTTAAGAAAGAAAAGAGAGAAATCTGGCACTTTCTACCGCAGTATCCACCACCCTGTCATTATCTGTGCAAGCCTGGGAATTCAACTTGGACCTCCCAGTATTTGTTGCAGCTTGAGGCCAAGGTGCCTCTAAAAGGATTTTCTTTTAAGGACTTCAGAAATCGTGCAGTACTTTTTTTTTTAAGCAAAATATATTTTTGAATGTTGATCGCAAGGAAATTCTCTGTGTGTGTTTGTCTAAAAAGTCTCGTCAAAAATAAAAGCTTTCTTGCAAAGAAAAGGAAGAAGAAAGGGGGAAGGCATTCCTTAATGGAAGTATTGCATGCAAAGAAGGCTGGATCTCTTTAAGGCTCCCCCTGAAGCTGGAGATGCACACACAAGGGTTGCCTGCCTGGGTGGTCTCTCTACTTTGGTGAGCTGTTGCTAAGCAGCTAATAATAGTCATGTTTGCTGAGTAATTTCTGCCCTCCTTGAGCCAATCGAATCCCAGAAACCCAAGCCATCTGACAGCCCCAGGGGCGGGATTTCAAGTCTTTTTCTCTCTCCTCTCTCTTTCTCTCCCCCCCCTCCCCGTTTCACTCCTCCTCCTCTTTATCCAAATGGAGAGAGTTCTTTTTTTCTTCTTCATCTCATCTATTGAATCAAGGAGCTGCTGCTTGCTGCTGCACACACACAGAGGGAGAGAGAGACACACACACACATACAGAGAGAGAGAGAGACTGGAGTCCCAAAAGCCCCGGGAGTCAGAGACAGCTCTGCGCTGAGACAGAATGGTACAGCGCGTCGAGACAGAGCAGCAGCCAGCACCTCCACACCAGCAGCACCACTGAGAGCACGAAAAGCTCCAGCCCTCCTTTGCTTTGCTTTCACAGAGGAAGACAAGAGGGGGAAGGGGGGGAGGCTGGTTTCTTTAAGCTGCAAAAGGAGCAGTAGAAAGTTAAAGCCGGAGGAACGAAGGGGGGAAGGCAAATCACTCACTCCACTCGCAGACGCACTGGATGTGGGAAGCGGTAGCGCCAGAAAGCTCCGGATCATCGCGAAATGTTGCAATGGAAGGCGCAGGGTCTGACTCGCCCGGAGCAGCAAGAGGAGCAGCAGCAAACGCGGTATGAAGAGGTGGTCTGTCAGCAGCAGCCTGCGGAAAGAAGCGCCAGCAGCCCAGCAACCCTCCCGTCCCCCTGGATCGCCCCAAAGCAGCAGCGCGCTGCGGGGAATCACAGAGGACCCAGCCCGTGGGTCGCCAAAACAACAGCAGCAGCAGAGGCAACAGCCCCGTCCCGGCGGCGGCAACATGGCCTCGGCTGTTAACGTTTCGGAGCCGGAGAGCAGCAGCGGTGCTGGTGGCGGTGGCTGCTGCAGAGACCTCGATCGGCCGGGGAGAAGCTGTAGCAGAAGGCGGAGAAGGACCGGAGGGAACAGACGCGCCGCGGCACCGGATCTGGAGTATCTGCAGCGGCCAAGCTACTGCGATGCAGCTTTTGCCTTGGAGCAGATTTCAAAGGTGCATTAATCTCTTTCCAGATTTTGGGGGGAGTTGAGGGTACTTTCTCCGGGGTGGAAAAGGGAGATGAAAATGAAACAGCCACCAATAAAACGCTGGGAGTAAGGGGGAACAACTCCTGTGAGTCCCGTGCCCTCCTTTCCCTCCCTCCCGTCTTGTACACACTTTCCCTGGTGTGTGTTTGTGCTTTTGATTCCTCTCATTAAACTTACCCGGGACAGTTCCACGTTTTTTTGCCTGTGGGTCACTCTCCTCTCTCTCCCTAGTCTCTTGCCTCTTTCTTTCCTTTGCTTCTCTCCATCCCGCTGTAGTGTCGTTCAACTTCTGTAACTCCAGGCTGTAACAGGGAAAAAAGTTTCAATGGTTCCCTTTTTTTTTTTGGCCGAAGTTTTGCTTTGTTACGTTTTCCAATAAGTGTGGAGTGGCGACTTTGTTAAGAGAGAAATCCTGTAGAAGAGAAAGTGTGTAATGTTTACCCCCAGCGGCTGGAGGGAAAATGAAAGTTGTAAACAAATTGCCACCTTAAATCTGCCGTGCAAGTCAGATAAGAGTTCCCCTGGATCGTTGCTTTTATTTTTAATATTAAAATGCTCCACGTGTAGGAATTTTATGGAAACTTGACTCTGGCGTACGCACACACACGCACGCACAAATCCCGCTTGTTACTTTTGCAAGGGAAAAAATGTTCAAAGTAAACAACATCGAGCCATTGCCTTTCTTCATAGATCGTTTCATTCCAGGGAGCAGATTTTTAGGCTTTGCAGTAAAGGGAAAGGGGGAAAAATCCATGTGGCTGCCCTCTTCCGTTCACAAATATTGTCGTAGCTTACAGATGGCTGCTCTACTTCCTAATTCAGATCACACAGCGTCTCCAAACTCTATGGAAATGAATTACTATTAAGCTTATGATCTTACAGCATTGCTAACCACGTGGAACATGCATTTACTACAGAGTTGGTGCCGAGAGCTGGGAATCAGGGACACGGCAACAAATTGTTACACAGTAGCGTTCCCCCACCAGCAGCCCCCGATCAGCCCTGTAGAGATGTAACAAGAACAGGAAAGGGATTTTTTTTTCTTGGCATGCCTGTTGCGATTCATCTGCATTGATTATTTCTCCCCTAGTGTTGTAAATCTTGCTAGCATGAATGAATTTTTGCAAATTGAATTGATAGCGGTGACTTCATTATAAGAAGGCTGTGATCAGTTACTCAGACCAGGGAGCATGCACTGTCTGTATCATTTTTACGGATCTCAAGCAGTGATGTAATCCCCAAACTGTGCATTGATTTATGAATAGGAGAATTAGCAGCAAATATACATCTGTCCATACAACTGCGTACAGTGCATGTGAGATGCTCAACAGGGTCATGGAGTAAAACCTTTAGCAGAAATGTCTTTCTAATGGCACAGTCTGTCGTATTATTGTTCCCAATCAATTGGACACTGTGAGGCTATTTACCTTTATGCATTAATAATTGTTTTGCTTCTGGTCGCCCTCCAGTCCCCAAAAGGTATGTGCGTTGGGGGTGTGTGGTTATTTCCAGGCGTTTAACTGCTAACCTTTTCTTGCCTTGCAGGGGAAGGCTACTGGAAGAAAAGCACCGTTGTGGCTAAGAGCGAAGTTTCAGAGACTATTATTTAAACTGGGCTGTTACATTCAAAAAAACTGCGGAAAGTTTTTGGTTGTTGGCCTCCTGATATTTGGGGCTTTCGCTGTAGGATTAAGGGCAGCTAATCTCGAAACCAACGTGGAGGAGCTCTGGGTAGAAGGTAAGACTTGATCATTCTTCTTGTGACTTTCTTCCTTTTGCCCATTCTGTCCTCCATCCCACCCCACTTCTTTCATTTTCAGGGACTGACTGATGCAGATATATACCAGTATGCACCTAACCCCCCTCCCCACCTTCCTCACAGCGAGGGGAATTGTGGATTGCTTAGTAGTTTGGGTGGAAGCCAGGTGAAACCTACAAAGAGTGTGCTGTAATCTGTTCTGGTGGATCGTGTTTTGCTAGCTGGTTTTGAGAAGGAGCGTGCGTGTTGGGTGGAGGGACAGACTGTGGGATGTACCACCTCCGTGTGTGTCTGTCTGCAGGGAGGGGGGATCAGTGCTGGTGGGGGTGTTGTTTTGGGTTTATTTGTTTTGTGGTGGTGGTGGGCCCCCCCCCCCAGCTGTAATAGCATGAAAGGAAAGCCTGTCCGGAGAGCAGCCCTCCCCTCCGCCATTTTGGGAGTGTGTGCGCCCTCCCCAGCCGCAGAGGGACGCGAGCAGCGCTGCGCGGCGGGGCTGTGTGTGTGGTCCTGTTTTTTTGGACAGCTTTCAACTGCGGGGAAAAACATTTGTCTCAAGGTTAAAAAAAAAAAAAAAGAGTGAAGCCCAGACTGGAACGCATGTTGGATTGTTTGCAAAGCAGATTAATGTCCCCGAGCGGGTGGGAGCCCAGCTCTGCTGGGGAGAGGGGTAATTTTTTTAGATTAAAACCAGGTTGTTGGGTTCTTTTTAAGCAGGAGACTAGCAAATTCAGTCAAGCGGTGTTTTTGCACCGGTGGTTAATCTGCATTGCACTAGCATGTTTAATCAGCAGGGTAGAAATGCTACCTAGATGAATTTGCTAAAGGTTAAGCCATTTTGTACGGTTTACTACATTTTTTTTAAAAAATGTAGGCTATAAAGGGGGCCCCATCCTGCAGTCCTTGTGCACTCAAAGCCCCCATTGCAGCCCCTTGGGACCTGAGTCTTCTCTCAGGTTTAATGGGTTTTACCACCATGTCACTCCAAGGGATGTCTGGATTTACACCATTGTCAGGGAGGGGAAAATCAAGCCCATATTTATTCTTTTTGATAAAACAGTATTAGATTAGGTTTAAATTCTGCCCTCGGTTATGTTGGTGTAAATCCCAACTAACTCATTGGCCAGAATAGTTACTCTGGATTTAAATTAAAGCAGCTTATAGCAGTATCTGGCTCATAAAAAATAACATGGAGCACTGCATAAGTAACCACTACTGAATGGCCCTGTGTGTGTTGAGAAAGCAGTACTGAGTGAAAGGAAAGGGATCAACAGACCATGGGAGTAGTCTGTCTTGCTTTATGGATGGAGAGCATGGCAATTCTATTCCCATTGACTCCAGTGGCAAACTCATTCAGCATTTTGTGAGCTTTTTTGTTTGTTTTTAAGATAAGAACTTATTGATAACTGAATAGTCTTTGTACAGTAGTAGAATAGTTCTAAGTACAGTGGGACCATCCTGCAATCCCTATTCAGACATGCTGAGTAGGAACACAGCAGGATTGTGTCCAAAGTTAGAGATGTGCATTCAGAAGCTGTGATATGAATGTAGTCCATTAGGAGAACTGTTTACCCTGATTACTACTTTCATGAATAGAGTTTGAATATTTTTTCAACATTGTTTTGTATCTTAACTCTTTGCAAGATTCTCTTGTGGCGTTTTAAATGAAATGTTTCAAAATCATCTCTTCACTCCTTTGCTTCTGCCTCCTGATGGAAACTTCATTGATAATGTTGGTTTGCAATATTATACAGTGATTTAGTATCTTAATTATCGTATAACTAATAGCCAGCTACCAGGAATGGTGGTTCCATCTCATGCCACCTGTTTTTCCTGTCAGTTTAATACCAAGAAACTCCCTGATTACTGCACTGGCAGTTGCTGTATGACCAATAATGGAAACATGGTTTTCTAGAAAAGAATATGATTTACAAAATAGCTATTTGATTTAGTCACTGCTTTGACCTCTTTTCATGCCATTGGTGCTGCATGGAAAAAATATTTTCCCAAATACAAAAACTAACTTAATAGTACTCAGAATTTGTGTAGCCTATATTAATTCATAATACAGTTGGCTGTACAGAGTTGACCTGTCTAATTTCACTTTTATTGAGTTTAGTTTTCATATTAGTGAAATATTATTAAAACTCTGAATTTGGAAACCTCTGCATTCTTAGATTACAGAAAAGGGTAGTTAATTAAGATGAAAGAGCATATTCTTAATTTAAATTAAATTAACTCCCAGTCCTCCCAGACTGCCATTGTAAGGCCATCAATAGAAAAGTTTGACTAAATTGTATGTTTTCTCAATAGAGACTGTATAAATGTTCTGGTCACGAACATGGGTGCTATACAAATAAACCAAATGAATAGCAGTTGCATATTTCTGTGGTTAAAAGTATAAACAAAAGAGAGTGCAGAGTGAGGAGCTGGAGTGGGGAGAAGTATGGGGAGAGGTAGATTGGAGAATGATGTTCCTTCTGTGCATAAGTGCTGGAAAGTGATGCTAAAATACCAATTTCACTCTGTGTGTGTGTGTGTGTGTGCGCGCACATGCATGTGCGTGCAGTCCTAATTCCTACCTACCTATACTATTATTTATAGACCCCAGGGTGCTAGGTACTATACTAAAACAAAAGAAGGCACAATTTTCTGATCCTAAGGTCTTAAGAAAACTCTTTACAACAAGTTGTAAACTGATCTGTTTATTAGACTAGATATTTTATTCTGCTTTTTACACTTTGTTTAATAAGATCATTTGAATATGCAGAGCAATATTGGTTAAACACAGCTAATTATGTAAAATACATTTCCATTGCAGTTGCAATAAAATGTTTTATTTTGTTCAAATGTTTAAAAATTATCACCTCTCAAGGAACTGTCAGTATTTACATTAGAGACCAACTCGTATGTAATGAATACCAGGAACATGGAAGGTACTACACCACTGAAGCTTAGTAGGAGTGAACTATGAACCTAAAAAATCCTAACTCAGAATTAATTATAAGTAGTGAGAATGAAGTTTGACTGAGTTCTAAGATCATCCAGAGTCCGAAATAAATGACGAGAAGGGTATATTTAAAGCTATTACAGCTGAAGTATTTATTTAAGAGCTGCAAAAACCCGCCTGGTGGGCAAGTTCTCAAAAGAAAAAGAGAGAAAAAGAAACAGCTCTTAAAGCTCTCCTTTCTTGCATTTTTCTCTTACTAGACTCCCTACTTCACAATTTGTGCCAACACACTTGGCCTTTGGTGTGCATACTGGCACCAAGTGGCTTTCCCCTGAATCACTTCTTGGCAGCAACAGTGTCTTAGAGGAATATCTTTTTAATCCATCCTCTTGCTGCTGTTGTCCAGAATATTTAAATTGTTCCTATATGTCCCACAGTCACACTACCTTCAATTTGATCCCCAAACTCCTTTCTCCAACAGTCCAACATTTCAGGTTCTTCCAAGACTGAGCAGTGACTAGGACTTTCCTTCATCAGACAGATTCACAACCTCAGATTTATTATTATTATATAGGCCATAGAACGCTCAATTTTAGCCTGTTTGGCAAACAAAAGCCATGGCATGGCATCTTAAGGACACAGTACTGTTTGCAGGTAGATCTGTCTGATCATGACCTGCTGTCTGGGGCTGTGCATGCTGGAAATGTGGTGATTGTTCAGTTTGCTCCTTACACAGCACACAACATCCACAAGTGCAGAAAAGGTTTTGCATTCATTTCCTCTGTGGATGAATCTTGTTGGATATAGATAAGGGTCATAGATCCAACTGCATGTTATTGTGAAATATCTCTATTGACTATGCACCATGTGCTCATACACAACAAGGTGCCCAGATACCACTATGATTGGGCTCTCCCCATAAGAACCTAAATCAGTGAAGAGATCGATAGCAGAGGTCTGGCCTCTATATCCCATAGCAAATGTGTGGGTTCAAATAAAGGATCTGACACATGACACTTGTAATATGGCTACTGGTGAGGGTTGTTGCAGATCATAAGGGGAAAGAGGCTTGTCCCCTTCTCCCTGCCACCTCATTCTACCGTCCTTGCACTGCATTCTCACCTTTCTTCCTTTTTCTTATCACTTTCCCCCTTTTTCTTATCCTCCAATCAGGAGATTAAGAAAAAGGCATCAATATTCAATGTAAAGACTCCAAGCCAGAGATCCTGCCATCCAGGAAAGGAGGTGCGGCAGTTGATCCTCTTCTTTCACATGGCAAGTGGTTATTTGCAGCAACAGCCCTTTGAGGACCAACTGTGTGAAATAGGCAGAACTCTTTTTCCCCAGGGAGGTTGAAAGCAAGGGGGAGGGATGTCTCAGCAGCCATGTGGAAAGCTCATCTTCAGTACCTGGAACAAATAAAGCACATGCTAACCACAACTAAAGAAATGTTCCGTGCAGTTGGATAGATATAGCTTGTATGGTAAGGTCCCTGCTGCCTACAGTGTTAAACAAAATGTATTAATCAAAATAAGTTATCCGTAAATTCTATAATGAGGTCACCTCACCCTTTGATACTGTAGAGTAGTAGGCAATTAATCTACCTATGCAGCGCAGGAGTGGGGTAAAGAGGAGGAAGCAAAGTGAATGAAGCAGACTAGTTTCCCTAAATGGAGGTGCTTCCTCAAATGCTGCATAGGACAGCTAACTTTAAACTACCCCTTCTGGAGGGACAAAGGAAGGTGATAATGTGATAGACCTCCATGGGTCTGCTATTACTAAAGAACACATTCCTCTCAGTGGGCCAAATCAATGTGTTTTGCTTGAATAAAGACAGCATGAATTGGCCCAGTCAGAACTGTTGCAACTTGTATGTTTCTGCATCAAGTTTCTCCACAATACCAGAGCCTCATCCTGTGTGGACTCGAATAGTTTTGGGACCTCCTTTCATGGTCTTAGCTGTGCCTACTTTTGCAATACTGCATTGGAAAAAGGTAGATGAGTGGCAGAGCAGAACTTGCTCTATTGCTGA